GGCTCATCTTTGTCAATGCATTAAGTCTTCGGTGGTTGCAAGGGGGCCTGGTGCGTGTGCCAATGCAGGGTAGGATGCATGAAATATAGAGCGCGCTGCGATGCGCAGCTCGCGGTATGTCACATGATGTGAGCTGCTGCATGTTGGTGTGTCTGGCTGTCCTTCAGGCCTTGCATCGCTCTCGCAGGCACAGTGCATTGTGTTCAGGCGGTGCATCCCATTTGTGAAATTGCACAGCCAGGTGCCGAATTTCTCAATGGCGTTGCCGTGGGTTACTGTGGGGATGCGCCTACATCCGGCCATCTTGTCATGTTGCAATGCGACGGCCGGCACGCAGCAGTGGCATGACAATGGCGTTTGATTGGCAGGGGCAGCATGGCCCGGTTTGCTCCTCGGGCCTGTTTCAAGGCAGGGGCAACCCTGCGCCGATGTCCACCACTTGGTTATGTTGCGATTTGACTCAAATCGCCGACATGCAGCAATCAACACAGCTATCAGCAGCTTGAAGGCTAAGCTTCCAGTCAAACCTGCAACAAACTTCTCCTGATGAGGTTGGCTCTACTGTCCTGATAACCTCGAAACAGTTTGACGCAAGCTGTGCAGCCGCTGTCTCTTTCAACCTGGCATGCCATCCGCCACAAGAAGACTGCCCAGGCTCGATCAGGTGGTACGACTGTACCTGGAACCATGCAGAAGGCCTGCATTGATGCGATGCTGATGATTCTGGAGTTTTGTGAGCCCTCTGGGAGATGCACCAGCTGCCTGCGAACGCTGTTTTCGCCATGCAAAACGATTGGGCAAAGGCCAGCAATCAGTACTGCTCATCAGATGCAACAATGCTGCTGTGCAGCAGCCAAATGCGGATCAGCAGGCCAAGCAGTGCTTTTTTTGTCAGTCAGCTCACTGATGGCTGCCTTGATGAACTTCCTTTCGCTCATGTCCCGTCCAAACAGGTACACAAGCTCGAAGATGGGCAAAACTGCCGGCAGCCGGAGTGTCCTGCACTTCAGGGTGTGGTATGATGGCGACGCCCCTTCGGAATGACGCGCGACCAACTACATACCTCGTCCCCTTGCACTCACCAACTGAAAACCCATTGCCTCACATCAGTTGCACAGATGACATCAAAACAGACAAAAACGTGGCTCATGCATGCACCGCAACACTTCTATGCACGAGTTCAAACGGTTTGCAAAGCGTTCGGGATGTTGCACGTATGGGCCCTTGGCTGCAGCCCGTTCTGCCATGACCATCAAGCTGCAGCCCGTTCAAGTGAAAGTCCCGCCACCAATGATGATTAATTGATACCAATAACAATTGATTAATTGGCCATGGCTGCGATGCATCGGGTTGCTTGGCCACAGCCCGCCGCGTCCAGCGCCGTCGTGCACTGGTGTCCATGCATTGTGCCCGACACTGCCACACATGAAACTCGGTACCTGTTGACGCGCCAAAATTGGCCAGCACGATGGCACGGTTGTGCGAATGCGGTCATTATGCCTTGTGTTTTAGCTGTTTGCGCGCGCGTCACGTGTTTTCCGTGAACTTTGCTCATGTGTGTTTCTGTGTGTCCCCTATTCTCCTACTGCCCTCTGATGACCAGCTGCTTGTTTTGTCTGAGCACCGATGCAATTCCATTGAGCAGCAAATGACACCAGGCACGTGGTTTTCCGCAATCAAATGATCATCTTTTGTATAACAGATTGGCAAATGGCTCGCACTGCACACAGCTCAATTGATCAACAGCACACGGCGCAAGCAAGCAGCAACATCATGTATGATGCACAAAGCGTGTGCTTGTTATATCATGATATTCAACGTAATAAATTTTTATGATGATGACGCTGTTCAGTGTTACGATGCACCCCTCAACATACTGTACGGGTCCTGTGTGCCAGCCAGCAGCACTGCAACCACTGCGTGATCGGCAAGGTCAGCTCTCTGCGCATGTCATTTTTTCTGACTTGGATACATAAAATTAGGTATAAGAATAACTAACGAAACCAGATTATCTAATGAGCCGTGTTGCGCGCCAGCAAACCGCAGTCCTTTTGTGATCATGTGATGCCCCTTTTAAAAGGTGACCGCACATCATAGAACAGCCAGATAACTCAAGCATTTGCGTAACAGCGCTGTTGGGATTACCGCCATGCGACTGCCACGGCACCGTGCGACCCGTGCAGCAAGTGCAGTAAATTGTTGACCCAGCGCTGCGGCGCACCAAGGAGCACAAATCATGCAGACAGCGGCGACAGACGGCGAGAGCCGCTGTCGCGGCGACCTCCCTGCAGCGGAGGCGGCAGGGACTCCTGGCACAGGTGGCACGTGTCTGGAGGGCTGTCTGCCGGCGCTCCGCCGCGGCCCGCTCGCCCGTGTCAGCGGCCCTGCGAGCACCTTGCTTGTCCCGGTCTGCGTCGATGCCCAGTGCGGGCAGGATGGCATGCGGTTCATGGTAAGCTGCGGCGAGGCGCTCTGGCCGCCATCAGGCTGCTCAGGAGCAGTGGTGTCAGTCCTGTCGAGCGCGGCGGCTTCGCTCCAGCACTCTGCGGCTGCGCTTGTGCAGCGCGGCAGGGAGTTGTATCAAAACCGGCAGCATACGGAATCAAACGAGCAGTCCTGCCACCGCCATGCGGCACAGCAGACGGAGGCCCTAGGGCTCGCGGCAGGTGTGCACGCGCACGTGCCTGGTGCACCAAGGACGGCCCTCGATGCAGAATACGGGGCCTGCTTACACGAGCAGGGCTCGCCGTGCGACTGCCTTGCGTCGGCATACGCATGCATCACTATCTTGACTGCGGCTGTGTACCACCTCTGCAGGCAGACCCTTATCCGCGACCAGCCGTGTACCACCTGGCTCCCCAGGGCCGTCAGCAGCCAGCCACCTTCCCGCCATGCCCAGTCAGGGCCCTCTCGCCAGCGGTCTCGCGACAACGCGCACGCTGCGCGCGATGCAAGCGCGGCCGACGTCAAGCGGCGGTGCAGCGACGCTACCCCCAAGCCCATCCAGGGCTGAGGCACGCGTGGCAGCGGTGATGTGGCCGCCCAAGCGACTCAGTGGTGATGCTGCTGTGGCATCGAATGCTGCAGCCTTGGACGGTAGGATATGCACGCTGCATGGGGTTGGCTAGTTGTGGAGGCAATTGAGCGGGACAACTCGCGTGTTCTGCTGGGCAAGCTGAGCTGAGCTCTCCCGAAGCCAGCACGCGGCACTAGCGCACGCAATCTGAGCGCCCTGGCAGAGCAGCTTGCCAGATGGCGTCATGCCTCGTCAAGTGGAGCGTTTGAACTGCGTCCTCGCCATGCTCACCGCACGCAGACGCAAAGTCAATGACACCGAGCATGCCAAAGGGCACTGCGGCCTCGTTGTCGACTGCGGCGCCCAACGTGGCGGCGTGGGGGCCTGGCCCCGTGCGGCGCCCTTGCGAGCAGCCACAGTGGAGGCATCAGCAGCACAACCAGCAGCCGCAGCAGCAAGAACCAGATGGGGACGCACGGTCGACAGGACCTCTTCGCTCGGGACAGTGGCAGCAGCAGTGGCGGCGACATCAACAGGACAGGAGGCTGCAGCAGCGACCACCCAGCAGGGCAGCGGGAAGCCTCGGCTCAGCACCCCCTGTGTCCATCCAGCATGCACGGCCGCTGCGGCCTGCAATGTCTGCGGCAGCGGCGGCAGCTGCAGCGACCGCTGTGTCGGACTCTTGCACGTCGCCCCTGTTGGACAGCTGCTCCAGCCGCAGGCAGGGGCTCAGCCACGATGAGCTGCCGCTCACAAAGCTGGCAGCGGGGCCATCAAATCGCCACTTGCGGCTGGGGGGTATGTCGGCGCAGCGCTCGCGAGAGCTCGAGGCCTTGTGGCACCAGCACGTGCGCGCCCTGCACTCCAGTGGGCGTGCGACACCTCGCAGCAGCGCGGGAGTGCCAACAGGCCCTGGCCAGAAGCAGCATCGGCAGCAGCAGCAGCAGCAGGAGGAGGAGGGCAACAGCCCGCCTCAATCACCAAGGCTGCAGCAAGATTCTGCGCAGCGGGTGTTGGGGGTGCACCAGCGGCATCGAGAGCAGCAGCAGCAGCAGCAGCAGCAGCAGCAGAAGCCGGGTGGGCTACAAGACCTGCAGTCAAGCGCATGCAGCTGCGATCAGCAAGGTTGTGCTGTGTGTCGAGCAGGCCAGTCGCTCTGCCAGGGTGCATCAAGGGGGTCCAGCCCAGATGCAGCGTGCATGCCGCAGCTCCAGCCAGCGGGAGGTCAAGGGCATGAGGCAGCGATAGCCCAAACCCTCATCTCATCGCCGCCGCAGTCACTTGAGAGCGGGGGACTACCAGGCGTTCAACGTTCCTTGCAGAAGGAGGCAGCAAGCGCAGAGAAACCACTGGGCTGCACTGCAGCATCCAACCCCAGCTGCGGCGGCACCCCGGAGAGTGCTTATGCAACGGGGTCCTGGCCAACGCTCCCGAACGGCATGCTGGTGGACGGCCCCTCACTCTTGGCAATGAGCACCTGGGAAGGTCACCTGCCAGGCAGCAGCAGCAGCAGCGGCCGCGGTCTGACCTCAAAGGCCGATGGCCCAGATGTATCCAAGGAGCGGAGGCAGGGCGTGGCAGGTGGTGCGGATGCGAGCGGAGAGCCTCGGTGGCCGTCATCTCTGGGGGACACCCTGTGCCAGATGGGCACGATGCCCAAGCTGGAGGCAAGCAGCAAGGTGCGATGAGACCCAGATATAAGAATATGTACATGTGTGCCTGTTGGCAGGATGCATGTCTGCGTGTGCGCGTGTGAGCGTGCTTGCCAATGCTGACTAATCAATCTGGTCAATCGCGTGCGGGTGCCCTTGGCCTGCCGCAGAGCCACCAGCACCTGACGGAGCAGCTCCTTGCAGCTGCAGGCGTCACTGGCAGCCTCACCGCATCGCAGCAGGCCCTCGCCAGCCGCCTCGCAGCCCTCCAGCTCGCTGCTAAGCAGCAGCGATTGGCCCGGCAGGCCGCGGAGGCCGAGGCGGTTGGCGGGACTGCGGAGGACGGACGGGCGGCTGGCCCGCTGGCAGGGCCTGCTGACAGTGGCGAGGGAGTGTTCTGGCCGACATGCATGTCAGACGTCTGCATGATTGGGGACATTGCCTCCCTGCGCTGCAGTAACGAATGACATGCCGCATCTATTGGGAGAAAGTTTGCGCGCACATAAGCCCAAGGCAGCCGGTATCCCGGGTAGGCCAGCGGTGCGCAGCATCGCTTTGGGCTTGCCTTGCGTCAACAAGTCAACTGCAAAATGGGGACGCCAATAGTGGCTGTTTGCGTCGAATCAGGTTATGAAGTTGACAAAGCCACAGCCGCATATGGGTGGGTTGCGCCACAGGTTCCAAAGCACTGCAAAACAGCCAGACGCTCACTGCCAGAGGCCGGTCCTGCCCACCGGCCTGTCTCACACACCAACGGTTTTTCTGGCACACATCGTGAGCTTGAGGCACTGACAGCACGCTGAGCAGAACAGTGCTGCCCCCACCCTACATCTCACCTGCCCCGACAGCCCGCAGCCGTCCTGTCCCTGCCCACAGCAACTGCTTTCCCGGCCGTGCAACCACGGAGCCAGGTCATGGAGACAGTAGAGCTGTACCAACCGTCCAGTCCAACCCACATTCGTCAATGGCAACCCGGATGGCAAACCCAAACAGCCCATTCAGCTGACTGGGGAGCCAGCCAGCTGAATGGCTGGCACCCCGTGTTGGCGCACACTTGCGCAGGAGTGGAGTGGCGGCTGTTATACGCAGTATGCTACACAATTGTGGGCCCTCCTGCTGCTGTACACACGGTTGCCCTGCTGGATTGCTGCAACTGCAGATCAAGTTACATCTGCTACATGCATGCGCTAACCCTGCTCCGCAACACATGCCTAGGTAATTTCTACTGACCAGGGGGCAAATTTTTGGGCAGAGGGGTGAGCAGGCCGTAGTCAGCCTGCACGTGCCCCTCAACATCGCGCAGGAAAGACCCAAACGCAACCGCCTCCAGGACGCACCGCCTCTGTGTCGCCACGGTCATGGTGACCGTCTCGATCTTGTTGCCGGCCACCGCCGCCTGGATGCGTGCGTACAGCTCCTCCGCGCTGCCGACGCCGCCGCCCACTGCCTCCTGCATCTGCCGCGTCAGCTCCTTGATGTCGCCAAACAGCGCCGAGGTCTGGCGCTCCACCAGCGCCGCGCCCTCGGCGCTTACCACGCGCGCGGTCTCAACCATCATGGCCTGGTCAAAGCCCTCCACGTAGCGCCGCAGCGCACTCTTGCGCGGCGGCTGCAGGGACGCATCGCCCGCTCCGCCAACGCCGCGGCCGCTGCTGCTCGCCTCGCCCTCCGCAGCGCGATGCGAGGCCGCGTTGTCGGCGGGCGCGCCCTCGTCCTCCGCGCCGGATGCGCCCACCTCCACCACCGAGGCGTCCACGCTGTCCGGGTCGCTGGCCGTCTCCACATCCCCGGCCTCCTGGAATAGCCGCTCCAGCCGCGCCACCGCGTCGTCGACGCCCGCAGGGCGCGAGGGACCGCCCTTGTCGCTGCCGGGCGCCGGCTCCATGATCCCGGCCGCCGTGCCGGCGCTGACCGCGGGCGCGCCCCCCTCCTGGTCGATGGAGCCGAGCGCCTTCTCCAGCTGGAAGCGGCGGTCCACGCGGCGCAGGAAGTAGCCAAACATCACTGACGCCGCGTATACCTGGAGCGTTGGCCGTAGGACGCGAGCCGTGTTGATGGGGGGTCGGAGGTGGCCTTGTGACTGTGTTGCGTATCTTGACAGGAGGGCTGCAGGAAGGCTGTGCAGCAGGACAGGGGAGGGCAGAATGCGCAGCTGCAGGCAGGCGCTGCCAGAGCCACTCCTGGCGACTGAATGCCGCTGCGGCTGCTGCTCGTGCTTACGCCAGCAAGCAACAGGCCCGCACTGAGGGAGAGAGAGCTGCTCGCTCGGATCACCAAAAAAAAGATTGGTCACAGTCATGTACAATCACTTGCAATACACGCCACATCAACAAAGGACACACACAATGACGCACTTGAACTCGGAAGCATGCAGGCACACACCCCAAGCGCGAGGCCCCCTTACCTGTGCGATCTGGAACTTGCTCATCTTGATTAACTCGCTGCTGAACTGCCGCCCCGCCGCGGGGCCCATCACGCCCAGCAGGTGCTCCCGCACCAGCTCCAGCGCCTCCTTGCTGTGGACGCCCTCGGTCAGCGCCACGAGGTTGGCGGGGCCGGGGTCAACAAAGCCTGGGGGTGCGGCGCATAGGTGCAGAGGGTGCGGGGTGGTGGGGGGAGCACATCGTTGCACAATCTTGGTGCTGGCAGTTCCTGGGGCATTGGCAGCAGTGCAACCTTGCCGAAAGATTAGAGCGTTGACAAAGGCGCCCTGCTACGGCAGCCTACTCCAGCGCAGGTTGACCGTGCGACTGTCTGAGAGGCAAAGCTACCACAGCCCCCCGAGCACCCACCGTCCAGGCGCGGCAGCATCTCCACCCCCATCAGAATGAACTTCTCAAGAATGGAGACTGCAGGGTGGGCGGGGGGTGTCAAGGAGGGTGCAAAGGAAGGGTGAAAACGGGTGAAAACGGTTAAAGCTGCGCCGGCGTGCGGCAACCCCGCCTCCGCACACAGTGTAAGGGAGCGCGCACGGTCTGGCCTCGTTTACGGACAAAAAGCTTGGTGTGTCGACACCTCCGTGACAAAACTCGCAATGTCTGCCCCGCCTGCGCGACCCACCACAAATAGACGCGCGCACTGTCAGCC